GTTTCACCCTACAGGTAAAATAGAAGATGAGAGAGGCAGTCCTTGGGGTTTTTTAATTTTTTTTTCAGTATTTGTAAACATCTCTAAAATATTAGACATTTCTGCCTTTCATGTTAAGATGTGTAGTGCCAGAAGGGTGAATTGAGCTTTTTGGACCTTGAGCCAAGTTCAGGTTGCAAGTTCCTTTGCAGTACTTAATGTTGTTAGTAACTAAGCAGATGAATAAGCCGCCAGTTACTAAAAGTAGATGCATTTGCCTTCAGCTATTAAAGAAAAAGCAAGGAACTCTGAATTAAGGGTTTCACTATATTCAGCTTGTACATTTTCGGTATAAACTTATGTTCACCTAATTTTGGACTGAATATTTTTCATTTAAAAAAGCAATTGGTTTTTCCTTTTAAAACTGCAGTCCTTGCCTCCCCTTGCCTCTAGCTCTAAAGCATCAAAACTGAATCCTTCCTTCCACTGCATTTGTTTCTTAAACCCAGGAAAACTTTGTTTCAAGGCATCAAAATTGATTATTCCTAAACAAAGAAGGTGTTATAGTTGAAACGTGCAGTGATGATTCAAAAGTTGTTCTTGACTTAAGTCAGAATCTCATATTGAAGGTTCTTCATGTAACTTTGCCTGTGACCTTATTTCTAGATGTAGCTGAAAGCCTGGATGTAGATAGTGTTTTACAGTGCAATCTGTACTGGAAGAAAATGTGGGACCACCTACTGTGTAACTCTGATTTTAGTATTAGAGGACAAGGTGGGGAGAGGAGAGGTGTACTGAGATGTAGAAGATTCTACTGACTACAGTATGGTCAGATGGGAATATCTTTGGCTTGTTCTTAGACTAGAATTATTTTGAGGAAAGTAAGAGACTAGCTGCTGGTGAGCATTTGAAGTGAAGAATGGTATGGATTTAGGACTGTGGCTTTCATGTTGCAAAGGCTTAGTGTTTGAGGGTGAGAAGCAAAGATTTATGGTGCATGTGGCTGAGATCTGGCTACCTGAATATAATATAATAATAAAATATAATATAATATAATATATAACAATATAAAGTAAATAATCATTTTTAGATAGCTAGAGGGTAGGTGCCAAGACATTTTAGATTTTTTAACTTGTAATGCAATTGTAAAATGTTTATCTTGAAGATGTCGTCTTTATTTTTCTACAGTTTAGCCTCTCTAATCTACAGCTTCCTGTCAAAGAATCTTCATAACACGTTTAAATAGCTCTTAATGCCTATTTCTTAAATGTGTTAATTGGCTAATGCTTTCTTAATTGACTCTGGGAACATAAGAAGCATAACTACAGCATGCTGCAAAAAAAGGAGCTACAAACATGCCTGGTCACATCCAGTTTAAGTCCTCGGGGAATTCTTGCTTGATGTTGATAAGCTCTGTAGAAATGCTGCAGATTTCTGAAATGGTACACTGTGTGTAGAGAGGTCCTGATTTAGCTTAGCAGCCTTTCAAGAAAAATATACAGCAGTACTAAAACCCTTGAGAACAAAAAAAATTGTTTTAGAAGTATATTATTTCCAAAAATGTTAACTTCAAAATTGAAAGCTATTTTTAAACCTCATATTTCCAAATCTTGGCATTCGTAATCTTGTTTGGATTTTTTTATAACAAAAAATCCTTTGGCAGGAAACAAATTACAAATGTAAAAATTGACTTTGAGGCTAGAATAATAAAAGAAAAAACTAACGTTAAAATCTTATGGTTCTATAATGAACAAGTATTTTAGCCTTAAGGATTTAATTAAAAAGTTGCTTTTGCTATTACTTAATTTCAAGGATATTTTTTTCTTTTGCAGGTATCTATGGTGCTGGTTGTCTTATTACAGAAGGCTGTCGTGGTGAAGGAGGCATTCTTATTAACAGTGAAGGTGAAAGATTTATGGAGAGATATGCACCTGTTGCTAAGGATCTAGCTTCCAGGGATGTAGTATCTCGATCTATGACAATAGAGATTCGGGAAGGAAGGTTGGTTTAATTTTTTTTTTCAGTGGAATTGTCACAAGTATTTCTTAGCATTTGGGTTGAAGCAGATAGATTATAATAGTAGTCCATTTGGCAAGCTTGATTGCTTGAGATGATCAAAGGACTTAACTGTTAGCTGAAGAGAATATTTTAGTCAAACTTTTCTTGGAATGGAATTCCCTCTACATGGTGATAGGAAATGAAGGTCTCAGTAGCCTCCTTTATAGTTGACCAGAAGTTTGTAAGGCCTGATGTGTAGCTTTTCTTAATTGAAAACTGTAGGTGCTGTTTTGGTGCTCTTTCTTGAAAATCTGGCCCTTACCACTTTATACATTCTGATGAGGTTATTTTGTGTGTGTGTGTGTGTGTGATTCTCCAGTCATCCATTGTACAATCTAGAAAACAGAGTAACTACTAATGTAAAAATTCCAAGTGATATCAACACTATTTAGGAGGACAAGGAGACTTAAATATTAAAAGTAGTTATTTGAAAATGTGGCTTAAAATGCAAAGATTGCATGCGTGGGACCCATTTTGTTACAAGTCAAATCTGTGTGTTTAATTTCTTGAGTATTTATTAGGATTAGTATAAAAAATGACTCAGGTTTGTTCTGGAGTTAGTATATTGCTACATAGCTATCAAGCATATTTTAGTCATATCAGATAGTCCAGACAGTACCAGTATTGTAAAGAACTGATTTGGAATCCGTGCCTTTTATACAGAAGGAATCCCACAGAGGCAACTAGTCCAATCTTGACATGAACTTTTTCTTTTACATTAGGGGTTGTGGGCCTGAAAAAGAACATGTATATTTGCAGTTGCACCATTTACCACCACAGCAGCTAGCAGCACGTCTCCCTGGAATTTCAGAAACAGCTATGATATTTGCTGGTGTAGATGTCACTAAAGAGCCTATTCCTGTTCTTCCTACTGTACATTACAATATGGGAGGCATTCCTACTAACTACAAAGGGCAGGTAACTGTTGTAGATTGGTATTCCATTCAATTCAATTTAGTAAGGATTCTGGCTAAATGCCATGCTCCGGAAGATGACTTACCACACATACAACCATAACATAAATAAGTTTGAACAATGTAACCAAACTACAAATATACTAAAAATAGAGCCCACCAACATAAAAACTTTATTGATATACATACAGTAGTAAATCAAGACATTATAATATTGTTGTACATAGATCCACAGTTAAGACAATAAAATCAAATCTAATGTTAAAACGTATCACTCATATCAGTAATAAAGGATATTTAACTCTAATCTTCTCAGCCCTATAAGCAAAAATTGCAAGATGGTTTATTAAATTTTGATCTGTTTGCTGTAAAAGCCAGATTCATTTCTCTCTGTGTAGATTGGTATTATGTGATCTTTTTCCCCCCAAATAGAAAGGAAATGTTTCTTTTTTATAGCATGCTTGTGTTCATAATGATTTATAACTATAAACAAGCTTAACCTTAAATGCTACAATATTAAAGGAAAGCTTGCAAAATATCATATTTCTGGCTTGTTTTGTAAACAGAATGCATCAGTTCTCAGTTTTAATCTGCCTCAAAATTTTACAACTAAATAGAAAACTCCTTTCCATAGGACAATGCTTATGCAGGTGATGGTAACACTACATAGTGTAAAGGTGGGACTGAATTATAAGACTAAGTCTAGAGGTGCACTGATAAGTCAGTCCGATATCATATTGGTACTGATATAAAGAAAATGATCTAGATCAGGTTATTGACCTGATAAATGCCTGTGCTGCATGCAGTTGCAGCACAGTATGTAGGCAGTGAAGACAGCCGGCAGTGTGAAGAGCTGCCTCCAGGTGGTAAGTTTGGGGGGGGGGGGGCAGGCGGGAGGGAATCGAGGCCCTGCTGTAAGGTAGGCAGGGGCTGGAGCTCAGGCAGGGGCAAGTGCTGCTCACACAGGGTGGGTGGGCAGGGAACAAAGCCTCAGCTTGTTCAGGGGTGCAGGGGAGGTGGCTTGTCTGACAGCTCCCACCGCTGCTGCTGTCATTTGTCTGGGAGGGCACCAGGGGGCATGTGCCCCTGGATCTGCATGGGGCGGGATGGGCTGGGGCCAGGGCTATTCCCAGCAGAGCTTGGGCTGGGCAGAGCATGGGGTGGGCAGTGGTGCTGCTGGGAGCAGGGGACTATGAGGGGGCTACGGTGAATTTTGGGGTGGCTGCAGGCCCCCCCACCATAGCCGCCTTCTAGCAGCATTGCTCCCTGCCCTTCCTGACCCAGGCTTCGCTAGGAACAGGCCCCGGATCTGTGTGGGGTGGACAGGGGCCGGGGCAGTTCCCAGTGGGGCAGGGAACAGCACCTCTGGGTGGAGGCTGGAGGGGGTGTGGGGGGAGCTGCAGCCACCCCAAAATTTGCCATAGCCCTCCACTCCCAATGGCTTTGCTGGGAACAGCCCTGGCCCCATCCCACCCTGCCTGGTGCAGATTCAGGGGCACATGCGCCCCTGTGCCCTCCTGGATGAGTAACAGGAACAGCAGCAGGAGCCGGCAGACCAGCTGCCACCTCCGCCTATGCCCCCTGGATGAGCCCTGCTCCATCCCATGCTCCCCAGACAAACTGTGGCTTTGTCCCTGGCCTGCCCTCCATGACTTGGCAGTGCTTGCTCCTGCCTTCCTTCCTCATGGTGGAGCCTTGATCTATGCCCCCACGCCCCTTCCCTTCCCCCTCCCCCTGTACCTTCTCCTACCACGCTACCTGCTGCAGGCAGCATATTGGATCAGTATTGGCCGATATGCCTCCTTAAATATCGGCTATTGGTATTGGCCTCAAAAATCTCTATTGGTGCACCCCCAGTAAGTTCTTAATTATGTGACTTAACTCTTACTATCACAGTCCCTGCGCTAAAATGGAGTAACCTGTCACAACCTCAGGCAGAGACAACTGCCTCATATTAATTTAGATCATTTAAAAAAAAAAATTCCTTGTGAATGTGACCTGGTGTTAGAACAGATGCAGTTTTTTCTCCTGTGTTCAGAATTGTAAAAATACTTTAACTGTGCTGTTTACTAGGGTTAGTAGTATTGAAAGGACATGTGGTGTGGGTTTTTTGCTAATGTTTATTACTTCATCTGTAGACCAGTTAAGAAGTAATCCTTAACAGTTTTGTGTTGAGGGAAGCTCTAACTTTTATGGTTCCCTGTTTTAAAAAACAAGCAAGAGACATTCACATACAGGGACGTTAATACTACAAATTAGTTTTTTGCAAATGAATTTTTAAAACCTATTAAGTGATTATTTGTTTCTGAAATGACAGGTGATTACACATGTGAACGGCCAAGATAAAGTAGTACCTGGTTTGTATGCTTGTGGTGAAGCAGCTTCTGCATCTGTTCATGGTGCTAATCGACTTGGAGCAAACTCTTTGTTGGATTTGGTGGTCTTTGGTCGTGCTTGTGCCCTCACCATTGCAGAAACTTGCATGCCTGGTAAGAGTTGCTGTTTAAATTGATTCCTTTAATTGTCTCAAATTGTTAGTGTATGTTTCTGTTCACTAAAATGTGTTGTTTCTTTAACAGTCATACATTCAGTCTTGGTAAGTAATTATATGACTATTAAAATGTCAAGAAATTGCAGTAACTTTGCATTTTGGGTCCGTTGTATGTAATACTTAGTATTGGTTGCCCAAAAACTCACTCATACTTTTATTTGATGTACTGCGTTTAATTTATAGGAAAAATATAATTCTGCCAAAGATACTGTCAGATATGCCTGGGACTCTTTCCTTCCAAGCAAGAAAAAAAACAAACATTGCTAATAATATTGCAAACATTAAGAAAAGGACCTAGCAGCATGCTACTGCTTGGACTCAGCTTGAAATGAGTCCTCCTTCCATTTTTCAGACCATGTTGTGTATGTATCTTAGGTAAACCCCTTGCTGCAGCCTTGTACATGCAGCCTGTGACTATTTAACATTTTTAATAGCCAGAGACAGTCTGTTGTATCTGTAATGCAGTTGAAGATTTGGGAAGCAGTAAACAAGCTAGCTTAATACATAGGTCTCTTCACTGTAACTATTCTTATTCTATAGTTTGCTCTTAAAGTGAAGTTGAGCCTACTCTGTATCTGTTACTAGGGGGTAGAATTTGCAATTTCCAGGCCTGGAAAGTGGACTCACTTCCTGTGTTTCCTTGGAATTTAAAAAAATGTATAGTTCTTGGCAATATGCTTACCATGGTATGAATTTTGATTATTACCTTAAACTGTTGTAGAATGAGTAAGTTGGTTTTAATTGTAAAATGTGTGTGTATGTGTGCATCTAAAACATTTATATTTATAATATATTTATATTGTGTGTGTATATATTTATTTTATACATGTTTATGTATGATATGAATGTATAAATATAAATACATATATTAGAGCTGTCGAACAATTAAAAAATTAATTGCAAGATTTAAAAAATAGTTGTGATTAATCACAATTTTAATCACACAGTTAAACAATAATAGAATTCCAATTTATTATATTATTTATTTATAATTGCTGGTGCCTTGCACTCCTGACCCACAGCCCTCTGCGACCCCAGCAGCAGTAGCATTTCCTGGGGCAGCCCGGCCCCTGCAAGCATGGGTACCAGCCTCTGTGCCGTACACCCGGTCATGGAGATCCCTACCACCCTCAAAGGACCTGCCCAGTCTCCTGTTGGAGGGGCAGGCACCTCACTCAGCCCTGCTGCAGCCCTAGCCCCAGCGCCCAGATAGCTTCCCCCAGCGCGAGCTGGGACACCTTGCCCATCATTTGCTCTCTGTGGAGCAGAATGGTACTGTCATTTATCACCTGGCTTCCTCGATAAGAAGTTGAGACTTATTTCATGGACAACCTTTGGATGGATTTATGCCATAACAAAACTGCATGTTATGAGTTCTTACATATCCTTTGCATTTTTTGGAATATGGATGTGAGGACCTAGTAATGGATACTAGTGGGTGAAAGCTAGTATTGCATGGTAGAATGAAATACTTTTGTAGCACATATAGTGGGTTTCCTTTTTGTGACTAATGGGTTGTGTCTGACAGCATGTGAAGGATTACCTAGTTTAATGGGTCAGTAAAAGCTGCATCTCTGCTGTTATATTGTGAGCATATTTTTAATTGAATAAAATAGTCTACATATGTGAAATATTTTACAAAAATTAAGCCTTGCCATCCATGTGAGGCAGAGACATAGTAATGCCCCTTTATAGATAACAAAAATTATGCCTGTCACTGAAAGGTGGTAATTTGATACAAAATTACAAGTTGAGTTAATGTTGGAGAGGGGATAGAGACCTTTTTGTAACTGGTTCATGTAGAAAATAATCATGAATCAAATCCCTAGTTCTAATTTTCAAACAAGTGTTCCAAATTACCATATTTACTTGAATCAAAGATGACCCTGATTGTAAGACAACCCCACCAATAATTAGATTCTATATATGGAAAATTACAAATTTGTTATAATTTTTGAGGCATAGACAAACCTTATTATTTTAGGTTTGTCTTTTATTTATATCCCTCCCACTGCTACAGCAGGGAAACTTTTAATCTGGGTGTCAAGTAGTGCCCTCTTCCCCAGTTTTTTCCCCTGCGGCCCTTTTCCCCCAGTTCTTACTGTCAGACCCTGCTTTCCCTAAGCATATGGAAGTGAAGAGCAAATATGAAAAAGCTGACCTTGAAATAAACATAGCTGTAATAATAACTTGTATATAGTACCCATAGATTTAGCTTATCCAGAATTGATGCATTTTACCTTTTTTGAAACTTCTGTAAGTTTTAGCACAGGTATTTCATAAACAGACTTCTAACTAGGACTATGGCACCTACTTATGTATAATACAAACTCTGCATGATACTAGTCCAATGGTTTTCAACCTGTGGTCCATGGACCCCTGGGGGTCTATACAATTTTGTGTAAGGGATGACTATGATCAATCGACAGTATGTGAAATACCCACACTTACCCCAAAGGGGTCCACACCTCCATCTGAAAATGTTTAGGGGTCTGCAAATGAAAAAAGGTTGAAAACCACTGTACTAGTTCAGAAGCTTAAAGGCTCATAATTATACCATATTGTTCATTGGGTTGTGTCCTAGCAGAGTTGATAGCATTTTCAAGCCATGGTGACCCTATGGCTCAGCACTATTAACCAAAACTATGTGTGCACTCCAGATACCACCTCGCCACTCCCCCAAGGCGCCATGTGCCAATTAGCACCCACTCATGACTGGAATTAGCTGTTCTTGTCATGAGTTGTGGGATCCTCCAACAATTGATATGCAGATGAGGTGCAGGGCAGCCTGGTCTGGCTTTATCTCATGGAGTGAAGGGCCCCATTAATCTCATGTGACAGGCTGAGAGTGGGTGACAAGGATTCTGGGTGAACTGTTTGGGACCCTGTTTTATGATGTCTGCCAGACATTTAATGCTGGTGAAGAAATGGGAATCACTTGGAATGAGAGAGAAAGGCGCAGCTCAGTTTTATACGTGTTAAGAGGAAATCAGAATGTGCATGGGGTCACAGGCCAGCTGGGCACTGTGAGTATATTAATTTAGTTGAAGACTGACTGAGCACTGCAACTTTATTGGCCACTGGGCTTCTTGGTTCAGGATCGAGGAGGTGATGTTCAGAAGGAAAGCAATGACAAATTTTACTTATAAAAAATAATAAATTTTACTTATAACAACAAAAGATATAGTTTGCACATATGACAGTTAATAAAAAGGTTAGCTAATAAACAGACAACATAACAATACAAATTTAAAATTGACTGTGATGATAAAACAGACAAAGGAATTAACCAAGAGTTTCCACTTGGTTAGCAACTTATCGATAGTCCCTCAGTTAGAAGATACACATCAAGTTGATTCAGCAAAGTCGGATGTCTCTGAACTGGGCTGTGGGAGTGGGGGAACTGGAGGAAGGTCCCTCAGTCAGGATCTAGTTCTCGCTCTCACAGATCTGTGGGGGTATGGGACAGCAATGACCTTTCTGTTTTGTCCTTGCTTGAGGGTTACCTGATGTGCGTGTTTTTTTATATCCTATTTATGCTATTTTTTGGTTATATAGCCATTCATAGTTACTTTATAGCTGTTATCCTATGAAGTTAAAAGGTGTTAGAAATCATTACAATAAGTTACTGCTTAAGCTTGGGTTTACCCAACAAGCAAATTACACTACATCACTTTGGGGTTTGAGATTAACATGTCCCTACCTAAGTTCAATCCACTATGTTAATTATACCTTGTGATTACGTTTGTTAGTTTTTTATGGACTCTAAGCAAAATTTTGTAAATCAGCTATGTCTGCAGTTATAATTCTTAGTTCTGCTTTTTAAAGTTAATGCTTTCTGAAGATTAGTATAAAAAGCTATATATAAAATTTCTTCCAGACAGACAAGAAACTGCTCCTAAAGCTACTTCAGATACCTTCAAAAAGCAAATTTCTCGTGTTAAAGTTGCTCATTAACTCTTCTGGTTCTGGCCATCACAGCGTGGTTTAGTGACTCACCATCATCTAAAAAAGCGAGGGGGACTGCACTCAATAGACACTAACATATATCTTATTCAGATGGGCTTCACTAACCCATCCTTGTGGTCAGTTCCTGTCAGCATGTTTAACCAATATGGGCCATGTGTTTTATAGTCATGCTTGATGTTGGCTGCACTTAAATCAATTTCATAGTTGGTTTCCATTACTGAGCACATGCTGCTTTTAGCAGTAGTTACCAGATAAACAATGTATTTAATACATTCTCCTTGTATGCAAATGTAAAATGAGGGGTGCTTTCCCCCAGGCTGACTGGGGAGGGACATTGTCTTGTACTGAAGTAAATATGATATATGAAAAAATAGTAAGTAAATGCTCTGTCGGTACAGAATTGAAGCAAATATTTTGCAGTATTTCCAAATATTGTCTGTGATAGCTTTAAAAAAAACTAGCCAGTTAACTTATGTCAAAAATTTATAAGCGAGCTTCATTTGAAGTATTAATTAAAGTAGCTTGAAATTGTTACTGTATTCTGAAGACTATGTAATCCTAAAACTAAGCCCTTTTTTCTTATGCAACTATGCATTTTATTTTAACAGGCAAACCTGTTCCCTCAATTAAACCAAATGCTGGTGAAGAATCTGTTGCAAATCTTGACAAACTACGATTTGCTGACGGAAGCATAAGAACATCAGAACTGAGGCTTAACATGCAAAAGGTAAGAATCCCAGCATTGGTGACTAGCGTAGTACATAAGATGAAAGTGATTATTAAAATAGACTATACCAGAGGTCCGCAAGCTCCATTCAGGAGGGCTGCAGAAAGGTTGTGGACCAACTGAGAATATCTGTACTTATAAGGTAAGACTACTGTTATTAAAATATAAGTTGCGTGTTTTGATTTGTAGAATAAAAAAAAGTTCATTAAGTGGTCCGCTGAGACCCTTGGCAATTTTCAAGTGGTCTGCAAAAAAAAGAAGTTTGAGAACCACTGCACTACACTATTACTGAGTTCTTAGTGCTATCCATTTCCTGTTGCCATGAGTTCATCTCCTTATAGGTTTTGGATATTACCGTCTTCTAAATATAATTCACTGAATGCTCTTTCTAGTTGTAACTGGCCTAGTGAGGGTGATGGTGAATGAAATGTAAGGCTGTAATGACTTGTGGGTGTTTTTAATTCATCCTGTGTATGTCTAGGGATTGTATTATGTTGAACTTGTGGGGAAGGGCTTAACCGGAACTGCACACGCAGGTGTGAGCAACAAATTTTAGGTGACTTGAAGTGAAACCCCTAAAGTGATTTAGGTTGCAGTCACAAAATTACCTCATAAGATTTTTGGGTGTGCAGTAAAGATCAGTTAGTATGTCTTTCACCTTGCTGTTTTGTTTTTTTTAATGTTGATACGTTGCAGACGATGCAAACCCATGCTGCAGTGTTTCGTACGGGCTCTGTACTACAAGAAGGCTGTGAGAAGCTAAGCAGCATTTACCATGATTTGGACAAGCTGAAAACATTTGACAGAGGTCTGCAAGCATCACAAAAACATTCAAACCACTACATGTTCTGTTGGTACTTGTGAATGGCCTTATCTTCTAAATGTTAAGACTATGTGAATGTTCTGTAAGGAGGCATTTTCAGCTAAGAAAAAGCTTTTGGTATAAAAGTCTTGAGCCAGAGTTACAGAAGTAAACTTCTGATTTGTCTTGAGGACCACTGAATTAGATCAGAAACATATCATCTTTTTCCTACATCACAGTACATAGGAGAAAGCACGTAGTTAGAAAAAGTCAGACCGTCATGAATGTGAGGTGTTTGTTTGCTGCTTCATGTCAATTAACTGACTTCTTGCAAGTATGCCTCTATCAGGCTTTACTGCTTATTACAGTTCCTCTCCTCTCCACCTCCAGATATTCAAAAGTAGTTTTGGACTTTTCAGTATTATAAATACCTCCTTTTTATGCGAGTACCATGGCAGCATATAATATTCAGATATATCTCTTCAATAAAAGGAGATAAAACATCTCCATTTTCATAGCTCTGCAAAGGGGATTTACATGAGGATTTATACCAACATGACACTGCATTGACTCTAAATTCTCCCTGCCCTTTTTCCTAACTTTTTTTTTAACGTATCTCTGCCTGCAGGGAGAGCTTCAGTGAATAGAGTACAAGAAGAATAGCTATCCCCAAGAATACACCCACTGCAATTTTGACTTAGAAGTAGTTGTTTGGTCGTCTTTTTGTAGCATATACATCTCAAAACCCCCATCTCTTTTGCTGCACATAAGAAGGACTGTCAGCTTGAGGGATGCAAAACCAGAAGAGAGCTTTTCAGCTGCTGGCTTCAGATGCACTTAAAACCCTAGGAAGGGTTGTACTTGATTATAGCTAGTTCTGTAATTCTCTGTACCAACATGAAAGGAGAAAATCTAATCTGGTTAGTCATATGTGGGGTTTTTCTTTGCTACTGGAAAACTTTTCAAATTTTTAACATCTTGTTAGGTATTGTGTGGAATACTGACTTGGTGGAGACCTTGGAACTGCAAAATCTGATGCTTTGTGCTCTGCAAACTATTTATGGTGCTGAGGCTCGGAAGGAATCTCGTGGTGCACATGCCAGAGAAGACTACAAGGTACAAATATTCTGTGTTATGTGACTGACACTTCTTAGCAAACAAATGCTGTGGTCTTGGATGATTTGTCCTTGATATTATTTTTACTCAAAGATCAAATTTTACTCGATCAAATTTTTAAACCATTAATGTCTGTTTAAAGTCTGTGGAACTGGCTTGTGATATAAATTGTGCAAGTGAATATATCTAATTGCCTATTGACCAGTGCCTCCAATACCCTGTTGACTGCTTTTTGATGGGATGAAAGCAGTAGTAGGTTGCAGTACACTGCTACTTGACCTTCTTGTTGAAGTGCTGGCAACTTACTAGTGATATGGCCAGTGGATTTGTAGGGAAGATTGGAAGCAGTGTAGCAAAATAGGGAAGTAACGAGAATATATTCTGCCTTACTAACTTGCTGAAGCTCTGCAATGACTTTGAAATAACAGCAAGATTTGGTATAAAATATTATAAAGTTTGCCAGGTAGGCTTAAAATCTCATAACCATGTTTATGATTGGAAGTACTTAATTTGAAATGTAATTATTGTATGGATTTGTAAAATGGAATTCCTAGTCCACATCAGCATAATACTTTGTTCGGTTTAGGTAAGGGTAGACGAATATGACTACTCCAAGCCAACACAGGGGCAGCAGAAAAAAACATTTGAACAGCATTGGAGGAAACACACTCTTTCTTATGTGGATATCAAGACTGGGAAGGTATGTTGATGCTGTGCTTGGAGGGTGCCTTGTCCTATTGGGCAGCTGTTGATGGGCTGATAACGGAACGTTAGAGCCTTTTTTTTCATAAAGTACCTGATACTGTTGTAACAAGGTCATGTACTGTGTGCCTTTGAGTGTGTAGAGAACTAAATGTACAAGAACCTTGCTTGGAAGAAGTCATGGAATTGCTGTTCAGATGCAGTTTGTACAGGAATTGGATTACCATAATTTTTCTTTTTCAGTCTTAGTAAAGTTATTAGTAGGAAACTGATAAAATATATTTTTCTGCCCTGTATAAAGCATTTGGAGGAATAAAAAAAATAAATGGAATAAAAATCTTTGGTTTTACAAATTCCATACCTGAAGTGATCTTTGATGCTCTAATCTGCTGTGTTGCTGGGATTATCTCATCCTCCAAATACAGGAAACCCTCGTTAATCATAGTTTCAAATGTTCGCGAATGCCGAACCCGCATTTTTAATACACTTTATACACTTGCAGGAGCTCCTTGGGAGCTCCGTGCTTGCTGTTGCCAGTAGCCGCCC